ATCATTTAAATGTGAAATGCATGCAACTAACAAAAATGAGTCAACAAAATTATAATGATTTACTAACCGCAACACCAATGGCGATAAACAACAACTCAAAGCATCCATCTCTATCTGTTTTGACATGAGTTACCGACCCAGGATTTTTCAGCTTTAAATTGTGACAATAAGCCGACAGTTGGGTAAACGATGCTTCTGGCGACCCCCTCAATAATTCCAAGGCATAATATTTGACTCTTCAAGCTTGAGAATATGAGATACTAATCTTGAACCGAGCATTCATGTCAGTCATAATTTCATGTCCCCAATATACCCTTCCATTCAAAAACATTAACTCAGCCAGAAAACCACCCAACACCTTTTTGTTTGCCTGTCTATGGTGAGGAAAAACTTGGGTTCTTGAACATGTATGTTTATCAATAAAAGTCCTAACTTGAAACATTTTGCAATCTTTTATTCTCTTTGCAATCATACGCCACGTACAGTTTTTGTCAATCATACACCTTGTTTCGAAACGATCTTTGCTTGATTTGTTAACTTTTAGTTGATAGCCATCTTCCACACATTTCGTATATAAAGCTATCTTCAAGTCTTCCTTTGTATCAAAACAATCATCTTTCTTGATACGAATAACTTTTGTGTAACAATCAACTGCTTTCTTTATCAACTCTTCTTCCGGTATCTGAAGTAATTCTGGCATATTCCAGTTATACTCCCGTGGAATTTTCTTCTTCTTTTTTTCTTCGGGGACTTCTTCTTCTTCAGGGTTATATGAATTACAGAATGGATGTTCAACATGTTCATTCACAATCCTAACTTCTTCCTCATTATCATCAACAACATCTTCGTCGGCAGCGGCTGTTTCATCATCAAATTTCGAGTATTGACCAATATCAAAATCATTACACGCAGGGTCTGTTTCTTCTTCTGAAACATCACCAAAATCCGAGTATTGGCCAAGATCAAAGTCCGGGTATTGACCAATATCAAATTTCGAATACTGACTAGTACTCACATTTTTTTTTGTTGGCTCATAATCGTCTAACTGGTCAATACGAAAACCAGAATTTGGTGCTGAAAGTTGATTGGGATTTGGATTAGGAAAAGGTTGTGGGTTTTGAGATTGTGTTTGGTATTGGAAATGTGGTGAAACAAAATTTTCTTGGTGATGAAATTGTGGTGGAGCCATTAAATTTTGAGGTTGATAACAACGTTGTACATTGTGAGCACCATAAACTGGGGTTGAAGAACTTAGTTGATTACTACCCGCTACTGACCCAACTTCACTACTTCTAGGTTCAACAACATACAATGTAACATCATCTTCTTGCGAAACACTAATGTAAGCAATGAATCGTTCAACATCTTCATTGTCGATTAACAAATAAACTTTACCTTTCTCTGATAAGATAGCCTAAATCCACTTAGAGGCTCTAAATTCAATTTCTTTGCAACATGTAACATTAGAGTTTCATAAGTTAACTTTTTTAATGACAGTTTTAGTTGAAGATTCATGGGTAAAGGCAGATATTGTAAAACACCATGAATATTCTCCCATGACCCTCCAAAACACAAATATATCCAAACATGATCAACATTAGATGATTTCATTCTACAAATTGTAAATTAGTTTACTAAACAAACGAGCTATAAACTACATATCATCACTAACTTAGAGAAAAACATACCTTTATTAAGTTGATAGTTGATAATTTGGGAGAGAAATCATTGAAAAATTATATAGAAATAAAATTATGTAAAAAAAAATTAGAGATGGGGAAGGATGTCGTTGGATATAGGAACGGATGTCGCCAGAGAGAGTGATAGATGGAGATGGAATGAGTTGCGATTTAGGGATTTAGGTTATGATGATCACTTATGTTTATGTTTTGTCTACTTTTCCTCACCATTTCAAATACATTTCAAACTCTACTGCTTTCTCGATGCTTAAAATATGCCTCTTATGTTGCAGAAGAAACACGAAGAAGAAAAGAAACTGTTGTAATTGTTGGTTGGCGGCCTGCTACAGTTGGAAGTGGACCATGTATGCTTCTCTCTTTTTCCCTTCCTATAACTTAACATGTATCGGCATTGTCTATTGTTCATATTGTGCTTATTGGACGCTCTTAAATGCTCATGATGTATATATTTGGGCTGTTGTATGCAATGTACTATGATTCCAAGTTCATTGAGGAACTTATGGATCGAATTTATATTGCAACATTGCAGTTTGACAGATGCAAATAGCGTTGCTTCTAAAGAGAAAACACAACAGAAGCAGCAGCAGCAAATAGAACATCCCACGGCCTCATCGGTACCCTCAAAATGAGCTCGCTGCAATTGTTTCTCATGTTTTTCGTCCTGTGGATGGTATTGGTTCGGCTCTTGTAACTGTTCTCGAAGAAACAGCTGTTCAAGAACTCTCTAGCCACGGTTTTGCACCAAATCTAATGCCAAGTTAGCATGGATGACAACTACGAGAATGCTGATGAAAGTGTATACAGCGCTTAATCCACTATTTGATACAGGACGTCAACTTAAACCCGACATTGAGTTCCCCTTTGGTCTCCTTTCAAGGTTCATGCCTTGTCCTAGTGAAATTCATTTCAGATCATTGAAAAGAACGGCAAGATGAAACACATACATCAAAGGTTCAATTGATCTTCATGTTTTCCTTAAAAAGCCTAAAGAACGGAAGCTGCTTGGATACATCGACGACAACCAGGTAGGGCCTTTTGACGATGAAGATCACCTCAGGCTATCTTTTTATCCGTGGCTCGAGTACATTTGCCTTGTGAAACAAGAAACAGTGACTCAATCAACGGCGGAAGTTGAATAACATAGTTGTAGCTGCCATTTCCAATCAAACAATTTGGTTATGGAAACTGCTAGCGGTGTGATACTTCATCAGAAGCAGCTAATTGCAACAAACCATCATGATGATACGTCATTTTGTTAGAGATGTAGAAGTTGGAAATGTGGTAATGTTGATCCATTATAACTCAGAATATCAAATTAAGGAAGATTTAAAAGCTTGAAACATAAGGAAAGGACCTCTGTTTTCCTAGCAAGACAAGTGTTCATGATGTGGCAATTTTTTCTGTGTATAAAATTTTCATATTTCATTGTTTCCTAGCAAATAATTGATCATTTATCATTTTTAGGTCCTTCGTGTCCTTGAAACTTGGCTGTTAATTAGGTTCAATCTTAAAGACCAAAATTAAAAAATAGAACGCAAACATTAAAAACTTACATTATCAAATGATTACAAAAAATAGAATTCCAAACCGAAATAAAACATAAAAAAGTTATTTTTAAAAAAAAAAAAAAAAGCTAACAAGACAAATAGAATAAAGGATTAATGGGAGGGGTGTGGTAGTCTCCCCTAAAAATTTAAAATTACTATATATTTTAGATTTTTTTCTATGTATTTTCTATTAAAAATCTGTTTTCACACCCTCTTGAAATTTTATAAATCCAAGTTTTTCCCCCTTAACCTAAAGTCATAGAATTATAATAAATAAAAGGGTAAATTGTACGTTTAGTGCCTAAACTATTTGTTTTGATCCATTTTAGAACCTAATCTTTCAAAAAAAAAAATCAAAACCATACTTAAAGTTTAGTTTTTGTTTCATTTTAATACTCCGCTGTTAAAAACATTAAGTTTTAAAAAAAATTGAAGTTTATATATTAAAACGAACCAAAATTGATAGTTTAGATACTAAATGTGTAATTTACCCTAAATAAAATGACATAAAAAGAAAGGAGAATTTCGATTTCATTCCTAACGATTTGTTGACCGATTTCAATGATGGGAACATTTATAAGGATAAACTGCGCATTTAGTACTTAAACTATCAATTTTGGTTCGTTTTGGTACTTAAGCTTTTAATTTTTTAAATTCATCCCTAGCGTTTAGTTTTCATTTCATTTTAATACATGCCGTTAAAATATTAACGTATTTGGTACCTAAACTATCATTTTTGTTCCGTTTTAGTACGTAAACTTTCAATTTTTTCAAACACTAAATTTTGAACGCGGTACTAAAATGAAACAAAATCTAAAGTTTTTAACTGTGGGTACTAAAATGAAACAAAAACTAAACATTAGGCATAATTTTAAAAAATTAAAATTTTAGGTACTAAAACGGGCCAAAACTAACAATTTAGGTACAAGATGAGTAATTTATCCGGAAAATAAATACAAAACTTAAAAAATCAGTTTAATCTGATGATGGAAGACGTCAAAGATGGAAAGGTTTAAAAGTTTTGGCTTTCAAGACTAAATTCATGATGTTATAAACATTTTTTATATATAAAGAAATCAACTTCATATATTTTATTATTGAAAATGCCATGTATTATGTCCTTCGCATATTTTATTATTGTGTCTGTCCTACTAGTCTATTATTGAGTCTAATACATTCTTCATCTGTGAAGTTATTTTCCCACGTTATGTGATTATTCCAAAACCATCACGACTTTTCCTGCAAATTAACACTATAGAGTTGACCCTTTGCTTTATTTGGCTTTTATTAATCATTTGTTTCTAACACAGTATTCTTCTGTTATTCTTTTTCGTTCTTGATATTCCCGGAATGATGTAGAATAGCGTTTGATTCACGTTAAATATGGGGAAAAGGAAAGGGAATGAAGCGTACCTTTACAGATCACTTCTTCTTTGATTGTTTATACCCTAAACAATAATCTTGGAGTGATCACTGCTGAAGATGACTATGATACTACACAAGCTCGGATGAGTATTAAATACGAATATCTTTATACGACAAATATTTACCATTTACATTTATGTGAGATTTATGATTTTCAAAATACATAAAAAAAAATGAAAATCAAAGTTTACATATAGTCGACACATATTTATATCTGCTAAGATGGCTGGGCCTACGGGTTCATGACAGGCACGTTCGGGAACTGTCCCACAAAGAGGCCAAAAAAAAAAAAAAGGAAACCAAAGACCTGCTTTCATGATCATCGAACAAAAGAAAGCAGAAATAAAATAAAGCAATGCCCCTCCAAGCTAACATATAGAAATTTGGTTCAACAAACATAGCAGCAGTGAAGCATTTGAGGAGATGGGAAGAACAGGGCTGAGGTTGCCTGGTTTCTGTCTAAACAGGATTAGGCCTCATGTTAGAGTTAAGTCTCCTCCAACACAACCCAATCCTAGTGCTAAAACAACACATCCAAAAGGTCAAGTTGGAGAAGAAGCTAGCGGGAGGAAGATCATGATAGTGGTTGATTCCAGCATTGAAGCCAAGGGAGCTTTACAATGGACACTTTCTCACACTGTTGTTCAATGTCAGGACACCCTTGTTCTTCTCCATGTGGCTAAGCCCTCAAAACAAGGTTGGCTTCCTTCTAAATTCAGAATGGAAAGTGTTTTGATTATTATCTTGAATTAATCCTAATAATCATATTGCAGTTTCAAATGATGAGAAGCGAGGTACACGGTCATGTGAACCGGTTTCCTCCCTGAAAAATATGTGCAAGCAGAAGAGACCAGAGGTGGGATACGGACAAAATGGCAGTTTATTAATGATGTATCTTTTTTTATCATCTCTAATTTGGTTTTATGGGTTTTGGAGTGGCAGGTGGAAGTTGAGGTAGCAGTGGTGGAGGGAAAAGAGAAAGGTCCTGCGGTAGTGGAAGAAGCCAAAAGACAGGGAGTGGCACTTCTAGTTTTGGGACAGAAGAAGAAGTCGATCACTTGGCGTCTGATAATGATGTGGGCCGGCAATCAGATAGCAGTCGGAGCGGTCGAATACTGTATCCAAAATGCTACCTGCATGGCCGTTGCAGTAAGAAGGAAAAGCAAAAAACTTGGTGGCTATTTGATCACCACTAAACGCCACAAGGATTTCTGGCTCTTGGCTTGAAACTACACACCCAATATTTCTTTAATTGGAATCTTTTGTTTGTATATAATACTCTTTGAATTTGATTTTGTTGGTCATGTTGCCTGTTGTGGTGAATATGAATAGAATATTAACGGAAAATTTCCCTAAATTAACACTGGTTTAAAGCTGTCAAGTAACTTGAGAAAATGGAAAAGGGGGGTTGGGGTGAATGGAAAAGGTTGAGTTGTGTCATCATTCACGGCCAGGTGTTTATGGATAAAAGGAAAGATAATTGGTTTCCTTGACCCCTTTGGGGTCCCACTCTTAATGATGAGGAAAAAATATCAAGAAACTGAATAATTGATTTAATTGTAACATTAAATTCAATTAGTCAATCGATTTGTATGAATTTGATTCGATTTTGAACTGAGTGATAACTAAATATATATAGTTCAACTTAGGAACATTACACCTTAGGAATCATCAGAACATTACATCAATCCACTATAAACCAAAAAATACAACACCCCCAAGTCTATGACATAAGTCGAACACACACCCCACTCATCCAATTCCCTCTTTTGCCAACTTGTCCGCCTCCCAATTAGTTGCTCTGGAGATATGTCTGATCACCACATCTCTATCCCTATAAATCTCTATGATTTCATTCAACAATGAACACAACTGATTCGGGCAACCCCCAAATTCTTAATCCAATTAACCACAACAAGACAATCACACTCAAGAATAAGTTTTCCTTTGCAACTCCATTGAGAATCAAAGAAAAGATCCAAACCCTTTTTAATAGCCACCATTTCAGCAGCTGTAGGTGGCCCTTCCCCAATTGGCTCAGAAAGATATAACACTAAACAACAAAATGTACGGACTTCAACACTTGATGCTAATGAGTTACATTACAATGATTAAGGCAAATGACAACGGTGGCCAATCTTTTATTGGAATAGTGACCCATTTGTTCATGCATGCTTAAAATGCACTTCAACGACATAATGCAACAGATTCTGAAGCAATTTTCTTTATCTTTCCCATGACCATGAGAGCATTGTATGAAGAGTAAGGCCCATCTATATATAAGTATGTACATTGATGGGTCCTTTGTCCCTCAAGCATGGAGCATGCACTTTAACTAAGCAAAGAACGGTTGAAGATTCCCACACCATTTGGACCCCCAATATACACATCCACTCACCAATCTGGTAAAGCCATAAAAGCTCAACAAAATTTACCCAAAAATAAAAACTTAATGAATATGATAACAAAGCAGACTAATTTAAAATTATGGCTTCATATTGGTCTGCTCGTGGTCAAATGAATCTATGCTAATCCGAATACCCATGTTTAACGTATATCTAAAAAAAATGTAGGACATGATTCTCCGAAGACACTCAAAATGCATGAAAAAAAGGGGGGAATAGAACAAACCTTGTCCAACACTTACACTCGAATCCAAGTATATAAAAACAAATAAAATAATTCTGAAACACATTTTTGTACTAAATATATCCAAGTAGGTATAAATCATGATGTAGGAGATACTTCACAGTTTTCAAACTAAAAAAATCATACAATATGAAAATAGGACAAGTTAATCTAAAGAGTAAATTGTGGAATGATAAAACTTGCACGATAAGCTCCCCTGTAATGCAAGTTTATGGGAGTACAGCAACAACCTGTGATGCAACATGTTCTACATTATAGATTAAATCACAGCAGTCGAGTTCAAAATACTCCTAACCCAAATGTCATGCACATCAACGTTAGGAAACAATTAAAAAGCGTTAGTTCCTTTCTCAAACTGCGGTATAAAATATAACCTGATGTTCCTGGCGTATAGCAATGATATCTTTGCAAGTATTTACATCGCTTTACAATTTTGACCAGTCCACCTGATATGAACTGGCAAAAAATTCCTAATACATGCAATAACACCAAAAATGTTAAATCCTAGCTGGCACATGAAACAATAAAAATTGCATCGCAATATCAAATTTTGAACCTGTGTTAGCACTCAGAGACATGAAGTCACTAAAAATTTCTCCTTCATGCGAGAAACAAGCTTAAACTTTTCCTCCGCCTCAACCTGCTGGCGAATATCGGTTTTAGATGCTCGGTCAGGATGAAATCTTAGCAAGGCTCGTTTATAAGCAGCATGAATCTGGGAAAGACCATTAATCATTGTCAGAGAACAAGCTGAAACCTTAAGATGGACTTATATAGCATACAAATTCTAATCTCCCCATGGACTCACAAATCAGGAATTATATCTCAAAGCCTTCTGAGGATTCACTCAAAAGAAACTATAATATTGTCAAGGAAATAAAAAAAATTCAATTTCACTCACCTCATTGGACAAGGGATAAAAACTGCCACCTACAGGGATTCCCAAGTTACGAAGCAATGATACCATATCGATGCATGATATTTCCAATATACTAAGCTCCTTTCGTACTTCTATTCTAAGTTGTTCCTTTAGGTTCAGATTTTCCTCATCCTGTAGTAGAAATCATTTAACAGATTAAGACATTATTTATCAAATATAAAGCGGAAAAGGATGTAGTACAAGCAACATGCAAAATGAGCATAAAATAGAATTACAGATAAATATCTCTACCTTCTTTTGTGTCTCCCTCATTTCCTCCAGACGTTGCTTTTGCCGTCTCTCCATATCCAGTAAACGCATACTTTCAGCTTTTTTCCTTTTCCTCAATCTTTGAGCCTCTTCAGCCTGAAAAAGTAGTGAGATACATGTTAAACACATTCACTCAAATATTCCATGTACAACAAAAAAAAATTCAACACACACACACAAAAAAAAATTCCACGGAAAAAGCAAAACTTCAAAATCAATGTCTTCAAACCTAGGTATAAGTCGACCTAGCAAAAGAGAAAGCTGTTTACCTTTTACATGTACATGCCATCTGCAAAACTAATTTTAAAGTCCAGCTTCATCAAGTTTAAACACTAAACTAATACAAAATAGGCAAGTATAAAACTGTTAATAAGACCAATATTAATCATTCAAAAAGGGACAGAAACTGAAATTTATTTAACAAATTATTTAAAGATTATAACATTTACACCACTCAACAACTAACATGTTTACAAATTAACCTGAGTTAACAGTATAGAGGATGACAAACAGACAGCACAAAGGAAACTGTCTTGAAGTTAAAAAGGAGATGAGGAAGATGTGATTGCACCGACACACTTTCTGACAACTAAAAGATCAGACCACTATATGAAAGACTAGTGGCAGAATGCAGATTTCCTCATCCAAACAAATTTTTAAATACTTGTTCCCTAAAATCCTAGCAATATACTGAAAACAAAAGGTAATCATCCAGCCAAAGATAGAGAACCAATATAAATGCCAAACCTGAATTTGTAGCTGTCGCTGCCGAGATGCCCATTCTTCTTCCGCAGCTCGCTTGTATTCATCTGTCTCCTTGAGCTTTTCTCGGTCAATAACTGTATCTTTTTCACAAGAAATTATTGTATCAACTACTTGAACATGTAATGCATCACTTTCATCAGATTTTTTACTGTTGGGAATAGAATTAATGTTTGATTGCTCTGCCATGAGAGAAGACTGCCTAGTTTGAGTTCCATTAACCTGAGAATTGTCCCCGTCACAATAATTCTTACTGCTGACTACTCGAATTCCATCTAATGGAATCTTAGCAGAAGTGGATTCATCAAAAAGTGTTCCAACTTTAATAACAACAGAATTCAAGCCATTATCAACTTCTTGTTCTTCCAATGATTTAGGAATTGACATCAATGGTTCTTTGGATTGTTGCTTCTCTTTTCCATTTGCAACTGTATTTCCATGTTGCAAGTCACTTGGGGGGTCACCATTTGAGGGTGACCGAGAAAACTCTTGATTGCTATCCCATGAAAGAGGACCTTTCATAAATCTTTCTCTTCCATGTATATCAGATTGAACATGAGAAAACTTTGCTTCAGGAGTAAGCCCATAATTTGGTTGTGAAAAGCTTTCACGCTCATCTTTCTTCTCAGATTCTACGAAAGGCCTTTCTATCCCACGATTGAGACAAATATCATCCAGAAAATCATCATTATTAGTCTCAAAGGCAGAAGAGTTTTGTTTCTGAATATTTGAATCACTTGAACCAGAGGTCGCAGGGGTTTCAGAGTATTGTTGACTCATATTTTCTCCAACTCCGGGAGGAGTATCATTATGTGATCCTGAGCCACTAGTCTGATCTTCTAAACCAGATTGACCATTTCTAAAATTATATCTCCTTCTTTGGGAAGTTTTCTCCCACTGTTCTTGAAATTTCCCAACAGAACCTTCAATAACTTCACAATCAGAATAATCACTTTCAGATGAGCTATCCTCGGACTCAGGACTTAAACCAAAACGTTTTCCACAAGAAGTCTTCCCTGCATAGGTTTTCTTGCACTTTGATAGTTTAAATGCAGGTTTCTTTTCCCTGATGAACCAGCAGTCATCATCATCTAATCCTGTAGGTTTCTGCTTAAAGTCAGGTACAGGACAACTTTTTCTTGAGGAGGCATCACTATAGAAGTCATCACCACATTCAACACAAATTTCAGGTTCATCCATTTTATCAGATTCATCATCATCAATGCTAATTACATCTGGAGCAGGGAAATGCTTATCACCCTTCGATCCACTGGAACCTTGTAAATCATCCTCCACAGATTCAGGAGCATCAATGATGATAACATTCTCAAATCTATCACCATCAACATCAATGAAAACAACATTCTCAAATTTCCCATTCATGTTGCAGCTTTTCAGCAGGTTGTTCTTTGCTCCTTTCCCTCTCATTTTACTTTTGCTTCCTACATGCACAAAAGAAAAACATATTTGTGATTAGCAATAATACAACTGCAATACAAAATACACAATAATTTCAAATCAAACTTTCATGAAAAATAAAATATAAACATATAGTTTGGAAATATTACAGTTATAATTTAAACAATTATAAATAGCCTTTTTCCAGTTAAGCAACATTTGATTAGCATTTTATAATTAGACACATAGCCCACTAACAAACATAAACAAAACATAGCGTTGAGTCTGATGTGAAGGATATAAACCATTGTCCCGAGTACAACCCTCAGGAGAATTGGCCGCAAGATTCATGGGCATAATCTAATAAGTACAATGATCGAGAAGTTAAGTAATCGTTAAAATAAAATTTTCAAGCTCGAAACACACAGAAACATAACTCATGGAATAAAGACTAAACAAAATTAAAAAACGTAAAAAAAAGAAGATAATTCAAAAAACCACAAAAAGTCGTATCAAGTATAAACCCTAATTCCAGCTAGCAGTTACAAACGCAAAATTGAAGAGAAATCATAAAATATAAGCATAGCCGGAGATAGATACCATAAAAAATAATGACACTAGGGGGGGAACTAAAAGATCAAATTACTGAAAACAATGGTGCGAACTTACTTTAATCAAAGCGACCGAGAAGAGAAGAAAATAGATAAAAAGGGGAGGTTCGAAAGGAAAAGGCAATGGATTTATTGGGATAATGAACAGTGAGAGCATAGACGAAATTGAGTAGTTAGGGTTATATGAAAAATTGGGTGAGTGCTTTCAAATTGGAATCAAAACTGTTAAATACGGAAGGAAGAAAATTCGTCTTACTATCTCATTACACCCCTATAATTTACTCTAATTTTCACTTTACCCCTTTATGTTTTTCTAAATTACCTTTGTACCCTTTATTCCAATAATATTTTCTGTTTCAAAATACCATTTGGTCTGAAAAACACGTTTTGTCATAAAATAAAAAATAATATATATATCACTAACTTTATAAATTTAAGAGGCTAAAATGCATTTTTATCAGTACATTAACTTTTAAACTTAAGATTTTCAAGGGCTTAACGTTACAAATATATCATTTAGTGGGCCATGGCCCGGCTCCACACCTCCTCGCTCGAACCGGTTGTTGTTCCTACGGGTTCGAGCACCAACAGCTACACAACAGAGTGATTGAACATTTATTATCAAATGACTGAAAGTATTTAGAACATATTGTTTGTAATTACCTTATCTTAATAAAAAGAAATTCAGGTTGAGCCTTAAAAATCTTCAAATTAGTTTAATTTTAATCATTTCATATCCAAATTATTTTTTTAATGGTTTTGATCATATCTCAGATTTATATTATTTTAGTTCAATAATGATTTGAATTTAATAATTTAATGTTGAGACTCAAAAATTTCGGATCTCAAACATAAGTTGGAGGTAATTTAGATTCTGATGGTTTTAAATTTGAATGATTTACTTGTTTGAAATTCTTGATGTCAGTTTCAGATTTGGTTAAGAGCTCAACAAATATGAATCGTGTATTCAGATGCTGGAAAGCAACAAGTAAAACCAACGGGTATAAATAACATGATTATATTTAAGACGATGAGAATGATACATCCTTGATAATAGAGGTAATCCCTTAAACAAAAATGCCAGGAACCACTCCGTATAAACACATAACCGCTCTTCATATCACAAACACATGCATTTACAATGACCAAATGAAGCTCAAACCAAATGAATAATAATTCTCAACTTGACTAGCTTATTTCTTCATCCGCTTTTGAGCATGATCGGATTCCGCTCCGTTGCTTGCATCTCTAAGATGGGTCATTGCTTGAATGGGGGGATTCTGTGGATCCTGTCAAAATATCGAAAACGAAAGTTGTTGTGTATTTTGACTTATTTCTTTGACATAGTACTAAGAACATGGAACAATAAACCCTGTAATAAGATCAACCAAGAGGAGGTGACCAATATCTTTCTTTGTTTCACCCATACCTTAGCAGAAGTTTCTGACGTTAGTTCTCTATTAGCATGCTTTCTGAGATCGATCTGCACTGAGATGTTGGCCTGTGACAGATCCAAACCCGCACTCTGCAATGCTTGCGTCAGAGAGTTTAATAACCTGCTCAACATCAGAATCCATAAGCTGATGTAAAAGTTTGCCAGAAATTGATGTGCATATACATTGAGCATAAAAAAAGGAATGAAGAAAAGCTCACCCTTCAGAATAGACACTTGAGACGCTAATTGTTCCTCCTTCAATAGTCAGACCTTCATGTTGGTTCACAGTATCATTGCCGATAAAGCACTCGGTCGCTTGAGCCTCAGAGACTGGTTTCTGAAGGGGATGCACAGGCAAGTTATTACCTTGGAAGGGCAGGGGCATTCCCCTGCTTGCTAACTCAGGTTGCCGATCCATAGCTTTGGATGTAGCGTCTCTAACAGGATCAGATTCTACTGGATTTTGTTCACTTGTGATTATAGAAGGGTTGATATTGCTGTTAATCTCATCAAACTTTCCAGCAAATGCTGACCCCGGACCAGAACCATTTTTAATAACTTGTTGTTGGCCAACAAAGCTCTGAACGTGCCAGTGGCTATTTCTTTTTTTTTCTTTTTTTGATAGGAATAATAGGCCTCATTAAAAACTTCCCTCTTAATTAACTCTAGAAAAGAGTAACTAGCTGAAGGAGAAAAAGAGTACATTGATTTATTGAATATAGAACTATTACAAAACAGTACACCAATACATAGAGGGTATCCTAATAAAACTGAAATCCATAAAGCACCCTATAGAAATACCCTTACAATTACCCGATCCCATCCTTAGCTAATTTATTTGCTTTCCAATTACAACCCCTAGGAATCCATCGAATAATAACCACCCTCTCTTGAACTAAGGACACAATATCCAAAACAACGGAATTGAAAAAACTAGGAACAGAATTAGGCAATAATATCCAGTCAATTGCAGATTTGCAGTCACTTTCTAGAATCAGTCTTCCCTTTGTAGCCCAATCTAATGATAGAAAAATGTCTAGACCTTTCTTAATAGCTTTCAGCTCAGCCAACGAAGGAGGTCCTGGACCAATACTAACAGAAAAAGTCGATAAAATGATACAATTACAATCTCTCAAAATACCTCCAATTCCTCCAGCCAACCCATCAGACTTGACCGCCCCATCGACATTAAATTTATAAAAATCAGTTGGTGGAGGATGCCAACTTTGTATCAAACTTCTGTGAGTTTTCTGAATAACAATCTTGTCTGCAAGAGAGGGGTCCCCTACCAACAAATCCATTTGAATTTGAATATGGGGAAACTTAGCTAAAAACAATTGAGCCAACCTAAATCTTATTAGGAAGAAGAGAGAGGTTATATCAAGGCTAGAATTATCAAACACAATTGAATTCCTTGCTTTCCAAATAGACCAAAGAACTACTCCCGGGATGAATTTCCATGTGTGAGTTTTTCTTCAAATCAAACCATGAACTTAACAAAACTAGTGGATTATTAGGCAAAGCTGTATAGATGTCCCAAATCTTTAAAAATCTGTTCCAAAGGTCCCCTACAACTGAACAAGAGAAGAAAAGATGTTGGACTGTTTCTTCATTCAATTTACAAAGTGGACATAGAACGTCTTCCATAGTAATCCCCTTTTCTTCAGCTCCATTTTCACTGCCAATTTCTTGTGAGTGATCATCCAAAGGAAGGTTTCTACTCTAGGAGGAGCCAAACCTGACCACACCCACCTTTTCCACGAAAAACTCTCTTCTTGACTATTTGATAAAGCCAACCTGCAGGATTTCACTGAAAACAGCCCGTCCCCCTTCCTATACCAAGAAAGAAAATCCTCCATTGAATCAGATAAATTAAAACAATTTATTGTTGCCATTAGATCGACCCATTGGTTAAATTCCCAATCACATAAGTTTCTTCTAGTTTGAACATTCCATACCCATCCATTTGCATCAAAGTTACCAAACTCAGCCACCGTACCCCTTTTGTTGTTTGATAAAGCAAAAATCCTTGGAAATTGCGTCTTCAAGGGTAAGTCATTGACCCAAACATCATTCCAAAACGAAATAGACTTGCCATTCCCCAATTGATTCCTAGAATGCGACCTCAAACATCCTCCAATGTCATCATTTTTCAAATAATTGTTCACAATTCCATTCCAAATCCAAGAGTCTTGAGGCGAAACAACTTTAGTAATTGACAGGGATAAAATACTAGCGTTGTGTTTGCTACATATCATCCTTTTCCAAAGTGACTCTTTCTCATTTGCAAATTTCCACACCCATTTACCCAACAAAGCCCTATTTGCGATGTTCAAATTCATAATTCCCAAGCCACCAGGCTCCAAAGGTTTACAAACAGCCTGCCAGCTAACCCAATGCATACGATTCTTGTGTGAATTCCCCCCCCCAAAGAAAGTTAGCCATCAATGAATTAACTTTCTGCCTTACTTTGAGCGGCATTTTAAAAATGGATAAGAAAAAAATCGATAACGAAGTTACTACCGATTTTATAAGCACCAATCTGCCCGCCATTGACAATGAATTAATCTTCCAACCAGCTAACTTACTATTAAAATTCTATATAACCGGCTCCCAAAGTACTTCAGAATTTCTCTTTGCACCTATAGGTAAGCCAAGATATTCCATGGGAAAACAACCCACTGAGCAACCAATATCATTCGCCCATTCATTTAAGGTATCAACTTCAACATTTATACCAAACAATTTACTCTTAGAAAGGTTTAAGTGCAACCCTGTCATTAAACTGAAAATCCTCAGCACTCTTTTGATATTCTGGATATTAGACAGAGAGTCACGACAGAACAAAACTAGATCATCAGCAAACTGAAGGTGAGTTAAATGGAATGGATTAACTGATCTACCAATCTCAAAACCCTGAAAAAGTCCCAAATCAACAGCTTTAATCAACATTTGATGTACGAGTTCGCCAATTAAATTAAACAATAAAGGGGAAAGACTACAGCCTTGTCTTAACCCTTTCGCCATTGGGAACTCCTCAGTAGGAGAACCATTAACTAGAATTGAAATTGATGAAGAAGAAAGACAATATTCGATCCAAGAAATCCATTTCTCCCCGAAACCCATAGCTTTCATTAATTTAAGAAGAATCGGCCATTCCACCGTATCATAAGCCCTTCGAAAATCAACTTTAAAGACTACCCCTTTTCTCCCTTGCTTCCTCCAATAATCTATACCTTCATTAGCTAGGAATGCACAATCTAGCAGTTGCCTACCCGGAATAAATGCGAACTGATAAGGGCTAACTAGGTCTTTAATACAAGACACCAACCTTTTGGATAGAACTTTAGAAATAATCTTGTATAAACTGCCCACAAGGCTAATTGGCATATAGTCTTCTAAACTTTCTAGATTAAGTTTCTTAGGTATTAGGGAGATGAATGCATGATTAATCCCGTGATCCCATTTTCTGCCCCTATAAAAGTCACAGATGAACTTCATGATCTGCTCCTTTAACATATGCCAATACTTCTTAAAAAAACCCATAGTAAATTCGTCTGGTCCCGGTGCTTTATCATTAACTGATGAAGAGATTGCTGCCCAAACTTCCTATTCTGAAAAAATTTCCTCAAGACTATCTCTTTGCTCAGCAGATAGCATTGCAAAAATCAGATCAAAATCCCCCACTTCTAGCATAGTAATCGTACTATAAACTCTTTTGAAAATATCCGAGACATGAGACTTAATGTTAGTTGTGTGTGTCA